CAGTTGCTGGGTACCCCACGTATCGCATTCGAGAAGATGAAATTCCAGCATCATTTAATGAAGGGAATAAATAGAGAAAAGAAGGGGGGGAAAACCGAGAAATCCAGACAAACTGGCCTCTCCCAGGCTCTGCGGAGCTGGGAGGCTCCGGAGCTCCACCACCCTCCGCGGCGCGCCACCGCCCCCTGGTGGTCACCCTGCACGCAGCCGGCCCCGCAGTGCAGCCCTGGTTCTTGAAGGATGCGGCTCCCTTGCGAACCAGGGTACCCCACTACTGTATCCCGTGTCACTTCAGATCCACACATTTTAAAAGTTCCTACGGCTGTATGAGCTGGGCATAGGGCTGAGTGTTTAATAGATATCGACTCATTAATACAGCAGCCTCAGTGGATGGGACTGCTAGCTCCCATTTTTAGACAGGCTCAGAGGGGCCAGGCAATGTGAGCAGAGATGGCACAGCCAGCGACTGTCACACCTTCTAACTCCAGGCCAACTCTGTGTCCACTACAACTTCTCTGATGACGACAATAAGGACAAAGCAAGGGACCGGGGATACAGCTCAGTGGCACAGCACCTCCCTGGCAAGCACAAGGTCCTGAGTTCCATTCTCAATACAACAACAACAGAAAAAAAGTAAAAACAAACACACCTGCAGTGCTGACAATGGGCCACATATTACACAATTAACTCCTCTACTCCACACCAGCCCTATGAGGTAGCTTCTGTGAAAAGGCTCATTTCACAGCTGGGAACACTAAAGTATAGACAGTTTTTAAAAATAGTAGGAATATGGCTCAGTGGCACAGCACCTGCCTGGCAAGCGTGAGGTCCTGAGTTTGAGCCCTGGTACCAAAAATAATTTTGTCCCAGGTCACTCAGCAAGGAGTATTCTCTAAGGACTTACAAACATTGTGAACCTTGGGATCGTGTGTCTGTGGTGTTCATGGTTACGCAGACCCGGGGCCAGACCGTGAGCCTGTGTGCAGCTCAGTGTGAGAGAACTCAGAGTGCAGCGAGAGGGAACGAGACACAGCCATGCTATCAAATCGAAAAGTGAAGGAGGCAAAGGACAAACCTCACCGATTCACACAAGTGCGCTTCTGAAAGACGGATCCTTAAGAAGGGCATGAAAAGGCTTAAAATCACTTGGAAATAAAAGTGAACATGAACAGCTTCTGTGGGAAGGGAGGACAATTTAAGGGAATATAACATTTCCCCTCATCAACAGAGACTCAGCGGCAGCTGTAATGCACCGGTAAGCACTAATTTAAGGCTTGGCTGAATGTAGATACTTTGAAGAAAGGCAAGGCGCTACTGCTCTCCTGAGAAGTCCATCAGAGGGGTCATGTTTGGAAATACATCCAAATCCCAATGCCTAGAAAAAGGTTCTGGCCGTTCAGGCTGACTTCCAGAGAGTGACACTGAACCACTACCAGCAGCCAGCCCTCCGCGCCCAGGCCTCAGGCCTTGTGCACAGCAGCCACTTCTGCAGCGTGGGCTGCTCAGTTCCTTTCAGGTCTGGGAACCTCCAGCCTCAGTGGTCTGGCAAGGCTGCACGGGGTTTCTTTGGCAGGCCCCGGACTTGGGGCCTCTAGGAGACCTCTTCCAGGTCTGAGGGGACCTTCACTGTGCTATTGCCTAGACATCACTCACCACCTTTAGGAATCTGTGCTCATCTCTCCCCACGACACAGTCACTTCTTTTTGGTTAAACAGTTGTGTAGTCAGCTTTCTGTTACTGTGACAAAATATCTGAGAAAATCAACTTGGAGGAAAAGTTTTAGTCATTCTCTGACTTATCAATATTAAAATAAAACTACATCAGAGATGGACAGGTGGACACTGATGTCAAAAAGCATGAGTTGTAGATTTTGGTGATGGGGTCTTTATGTGTTTAAGATTTTTAAACCCGTGGCATGTTTTGAACTCTTTCATTGTAGATATTGAGGAAAACTCCTGCCCTCCTTCGTGTCTCCCTCTTACTTGTGACTTCGCTCTCTGCTCTCCGTTACACAAAAGCCCTGAACAGCTCGGCTGAGCTGTCTCCTTCTCCTCTCCTGTTCATTCTCACCCCACTTCTAATCAAGTTTCTGTCTCAGCAGCCCACAGAGTGTCCAATGGGCTCACCAGGGGTCCCCACTTTAGGAGCAGCCGGGCCTGGCCTTGCTCACCCCGCCTGCTGCAGACCGGCCTCAGTGGTCGCTTCCTGCCCTGGAGAAATTCTGTGCCTGATGCCAGCGCGGTGCCGCCTCCTCCTTCCCAGCTGCCTCACTGCCTGTCCTCCCGCGTCTGTGTGACTTCTCCAGTCAGTCTCTGTCCCTGTCCTTGTCTGTCTTTGTCTCTGTCTCTGCATCTGTCCATCTGTCTGTCTTTCTCTCTCTCCCATACTTGGGACTCAAACCAAGGCTTCACAATACACTACCATCCTCACATCAGCCCATTTTCTTATTCATTATAGTATTTTTTAAATCTTGAGACAGGCTCTCACTAAGCTGCCTGGTGTGCGCCCAGCTTGTGATTCTCCTGCCTCATCCCTGCAGAGGCTGAGGACTCACAGGCATGTACCTCACCAAGCTCTCCGTTTCTTAACGTGTTCACAAAGGGTCATAACGCCTGCCTCACTGCTGGCTGACTCTGATTTGTTTGCGCCAAGGTCTTGCTGTGTGGTTCAGGCTGGCCTTGAACCCACTATGTAACCCCAACTGGCCTTGAATGCCTGGCGATCCTCCTGCCTCAGCTGGATTACAGGAATGTGCTACCACGCCTGGCAGGTGGCTCCGATTTGAATGTGTTACCTTCCTGTTGGCTTGATATGCCAGTGGTACAGGCATGACTTTCCATCAGGTGCCACCTTTATGTGAATAATGTTTTAAAGAAATTCATAAATACAAATAAATTTCTTTTAATGAAATAGCTAAATATATTGATTATTATAATAATTTTATTTTAAAAAAATGTTTATTGAAGAGCCGGGCATGGTGGCTCACGCCTGTAATCCCAGCACTCGGGAGGCTGAGGCAGGAGGATCATTTCGAGTTCGAGACCAGCCTACGCTACAAAGTGAGCTACAAAGTGAGCTCAAGGCCAGCCTGAACTGCATAACGAGAACTTGTCTCAAAAAAGACAAAAAAAAAAAAAAAAAAAGCGCTTATTGAAAAACAACTGTACTTCTACTTCATGGTGACAAACAAAATAAAACACATCATGTACAAGAGTATTAAAATATAAAATTGTGATAAATCTCACCACAAAATTTATAAGACCTATATACAGAAAACTAGAAAGCATTACAGAGAAACTGAAGATTTTAAGAAATACATTTTAATGTAAAACACTTGAAAATAACAGTTTTCCAAAAACTAATCTAATAATTTGATTCTAATGAAAATTGAGGGTTTTTTAATTGGCAGGCTTTTCTAAAATTGATATGAAAATCCAAAAGACTTGCAATCATTCAAAAAATTTTGAAAAGCAAGAAAAAAAACTTTGGAAGGCAAACATGACATTATTTCCAGAATTAATATACATTTATAATATCTTATTTCGTTTTTCAGTTTCTCACACTAGAGAGACAATATGGCATTTACTCATGTGAGTCTGACTTATTGCACTCATGCGTATGGACTCAAATTGCATCCACTTACCTGTAAAAGTCTCCAGTTTATCCTTTATAACTGAGTAACTGCATTGTATACAAAGATCACATCTTTTTTATCCATTCCTTGGTTGGTGGGCATTTTGATAGTTTCCAAGATTTTGCTGTTACCAACTGTGGTGCCATAAACATGGATATACACACACACACACACACACATATATATATATATATATATATATATATATATATATATATAATATATACTTTTAATTTATTAAAATAAGTATATTATACTTTTAATTGGCATTAGTAATATTAATATTTAGATTTGGGCAGTAATTATTCAAGCAACTAGAGTTGATCCATTTATAGACTTTTCATTAATTTCATTGTAAAAAGACCAATAAAAGTGATTATATCTGTTTGTACCACCATGGTACAAATCACCTAATGGGAGAATCATACATGTACCATTGGTGTTACAAACGGCAGAAATATGTTAACTAGTAACAAACAATGAGTAAGATTTAACTAATTGCAGACAACTAGTTGTAAGTACCATGGGTAACCTTTGCAGTTAACTAGTAATTTTGGGGGGATACTAGAGCTTGAACTCATGATTTCATGCTTGCCAGGTAGGTGCTGTGCCGCTGAACTAACCAGTAATTTTAAACCACATGGTAACTAGTACTTGATAACTAGTAAATAGTAACTGGTAACTAGTGATGATTAATCAGTAATGGGTAACCAGTAATGTTTAACTGGTCATAGGAAACTATCCATGTGTAACTAGCTGTTCTTAACTAGTAAGCTTAACTAGTTGTGGGCAACTACTAATTGGTTACTAATAGTTGATAATTAGTGATTAAAATAATTAAGTGTGTAACATACATGTTCCAATTCCACAAAATAAAATTCCACATTACTCATGTACTGTAAACATATACCAATAAGAAATTCTAAATGCTGGACTTTTTTCTATGACTATTTTTATTACAATTATCTAAAGGATTTATAACTATGCAAGTACTAATATTTTTAAACAATTGTTGACTGTATTTATAATGCAAATATATGGTAAAAGAATAAGAAAGCAGAAAAAACCTACAAAAAACAGTAAAGTCTCTTTGATTCTGGTCTTTTGAGTATAAATTCTACAACCTGGATGTAAACTCTACTTAGGATTTCATGAGTGTTAGTCAAGATTTACAAGGGAATAAACTTACTACAGACACACAATCCATAGGATTATAATATTCACCCAAAAAGTCAAATATAGAAGAGTACAAGAGATCTGTCTGCACACCAGAGACCTCAGGAATGCAGTGAAGAACCTGGATTCCATGGCAACACCCTGCATGAGTCCAGCCACAGGCCTGGAACACACAGGAATGTCCCCTGAGTCCACATCAGAAGGCCAGGGTTCTTCAGTGCGGGACTGGAGTCTGCACCAGAAACCAAGGGGCCAGAAAGCCAAGGGGCCAGGGCTGAAGACTCCTGCGTCTGCACCAAGACCCAGGAGATGACTCCCAGGAGAAGGCAGCCTGGAGCTGCTCCAAAGAGAACAGCAGTGGAGGCTCAGCTCGCGAAGCTCTTCCGAGGGTGGGAAGCAGGTGAGAGGTGAGATACTGTTTGGAGTCTCTGGCAGTCACCATGGGTGAATTGCAGCCTTTGAAGGGTAAGATTGTTTACCTCCAAAAATAAAGAGTAGTCTCATGACCAAGAAAAAAAGTGCAGTAGCTAAATGAGTATGTGGTATAGTTCAGTAATGCCAGAAACCTGGTAGGCTGAAGCAGGAAGAATGCAAGTTTAATGGCAGCCTGGGCAAATTAGTAACCCAGAGAGAACTTGCCTAGAAAGAAAGAAAAAGAAAGAAAGAAAGAAAGAAGGAAGGAAGGAAGGAAGGAAGGAAGGAAGGAAGGAAGGAAGGAAAGAAAAGCATGTGGATGTAGCATAGATGTATAGATGTTAATATTCATCTAAAAATCTGCCAAAGTTCACACCATTCTAATCAAAAACAGCAAGAAGAGAATTCTTTTCACATTGTAATGTCAAAATTAGAGGACTTCTAGAACAAGAAAAATGTATGAAACTAGTATAAATAATTCCAAAGAATAAAGGAAGAATGATACACTAGAAAGCAGTAATATCAGTTAGCAAATATATTTTTACAAGGTGGTAAGGAGAGATGGAGAAATAGACTCATCGATAGATCTGAATAGAAACTAGACACATGACTTCTCTGTGTATACTTCATTTTTATTTATATTTTATAACTTATTTATATTTCATGCATCAGAAGATGGTATCTAAAAGCAGTAGAGAAGCAACAATTCATCATATAAAGAGCAAAAGCATAATGTTGTAAAAGATAAAGCTAACAATTTTATTTGGTGCCAAGTAAATTCCAGAGGCTCTAAATAACTTTTTTTTAAAAAAGCAGGTACCAGATTTAATACAGATGTGTTTAATGTAAATAATTAAAGCAGGCAAAAAAGAAGGAAAAATGCAGGAGATGTTATGGGTCATTTATTTATTTTATGATGCTGGTGACTCTCACTAGTTCACATCCCCAGGCTTATTTATTTGGAGGTAGGGTTTCCCTGCGTCACCAATTGCCCAGGCTGAGCTTGAACGTTTGGTCCTTTCGTCTCAGTCTCAGCGTGCTAGGCTTACAGGTATGCACCATAACCTGCTAATCATATTTTACTCTACTTAAAATGTATATTTGGTTAGCAAAATGTTTTGATTGTTTCCTTGGTTTGTTTTTGTTTTAAATACTTTTGCAAGTGACTTTAAGGTGAAAAGATCCAAATATTTGGGGAGTCACTGGGTGGGGAAACAGCGACTGTTCACTTACTTCAAAGATTACACATCAGCTCCTCGGCTAGCCCACTTAACATTGCTTAAGCTAATTGTAGGGACAAAGAAATGGCCTAAACAACTCTGTCCATACCAGCACGTGGAGACAGGGCCAGGTTATCCAAAATGGAGATAGCTGCTCTTCTTTCAAGGAGCGTCAAGGAACGTTATCTGGGCTCCCCACAACAGACAGCTAGTTACCAGCTGTAAACCACCACTACTTATCAGTTAAGGTAGTTGCTCACGACTAGTTAATCATCACTAGCTACCACCCTTGTTGCTGAGACAAAATAACCAACATCCAAAGTCAAAGGAGAAAAGGTTATTTGGTTCCCAGTTTGTAGAGGCTTCAGTCTGTAGTGAGCTGGCTCCAAAACAGGGCAGTATGACAGAGGGGCACCACGGAGGAGAACCAGTTCGTGGCAGGCAGAAGGTGGAAGGCAGCAAGAAAGAAGCAATCATCAGTGACCTTCTTTCTGTCCCTTATATCTTGCCCAGGCTATGGCATTCACACCCAGGATGGAGCACCCTTCATCTACCCAGAACTATGCCAGTCCAATCAGGGGGCCAATTCAGTAATCACACACCCTAAATCTTAGCATCACACACTCTGGATGCAGCCAGCTCTGGAAAAGCCTCACCTATGACCACATGAGGCTCTGGGGGACAGCTAGACACAACCCATAAACATTCACAGCTAGTTGAACATTGCTAGTTACTGTTTACTAGTTGTTTGCAATTTGTTAATCAGTTACTAGTCACCCACAACTAGTTAACTATACTAGTCACAACTCATTACCAACTACTAGTTAATTGATGCTAGTTACTGGTTATTAGCTAGCTACAATTAATTAACCATTGGTAGTCATCAATTACCAGTAACCCATAGCTAACTAATACTAGTACCTACAACTAGTTATCAGCTGCTGGCTAACCACATAGTTATCCACTGCTAATTAATCATTACTGCTGGCTAGCCATTACTAGTTAGTGGTTGCTACCTACAATTAGCTACCAGCAACCACCAGTGATACACTAGTTAGCCATTATTAGTTACTGGTTACCAGTTACCTGTGAATAGTTAACCACTGCTAGTCACTAGTGACTATCCTAACACTGCTAGTTAAGCATCACTAGTTGATGTTTATCAGTTGCCCATAACTAGTTAGCCACTGCTAATTATTGGTTACTATTTACCCACAACTAGCTAACCATTGCTCATTCCTAGTTACTAGTTACCCAAAACTAGGTAACCACTGGTAGTTATCATTTACTTGCTATTAGTTTGCAATAACCAGCTAACCACTGGTAGTTATTGGTTACCATTACCCACCACTAGTTACTGCTACTTAGTGATTATGTCATCCCCAATTAACCTCTACTAGTTGCTAATAACTAATCATTACTAGGTACCCATCTCTAGTTATCAGTCACTAGTCACTCATTGCTAATTAGCAGTTAAAACTTACTGCTAGTTATTTGCGACTTGTTAACTAATGCTTACCCACAACTACTCACCAACTACTAATTATTGCTAGTCACCAATTTCTATTTACCTATACCTAGTTGACTACCTTTGGTTACCAATTAGTTACCAAAGCTAGTTATCAATTGCTAGCTTCATCCAGTTCACTAATTCTTAACTAATAACAGGTAACTAGCATGGATAACTAGTAATTGGTAAATAGTAATTACTGGTCATGGATAACTAGCTGCGGTTAGGTAATAAAAGAGACAAAAGCTGATGTCAGGTGGAATCCTCTCTCCTGATGGAAGAGAAGGGACTGCTCAACCACTGTAATATGTTTGTTTATACACTCAGAAGGATGATATCAATTTTAATTCTGCTGCCTACCAACTTGTTTGCCTGGCTGGCCTGGACCCCTTGCCTTCTTTGAGCTGGAATAGCTTGTTTATGTGGTTTGCTTTGGACTGTTCTCAGGGCTGGCCTTGCCTTAGCCTAACACATGTGATCAGTCTCCTGCTTCAATGGCTCCCTATAAATTTGGAAAAGTTTTGAGAGACTAGCAGAAGAGGCCCCTGAATGCTATAAACTATATGGGAGACTCTGGTCAGCGCCTGGAAAATTAGAGTCCTGATGGAAATGCTGCCGTTAGCGTGAGGCTCAGAGACTTCTACTGAGAAGGCCTGCGCTGGCTGCTGGATCCATGTAGGGTATGTTGTGCTTTGCTAGGAAGTTGGTCTGCACATTACCTGGGTGACAGAAAAATGTCAGTGCTGTCTACTGTTAGAACAGTGTCATGGCTGATGTTGAGAGCTTTTGGTCAGACCTGTGTTCAAAACAAAGAAGGAAGCGTCAGCCAGGTGACACGAAATGTTTAGCCAGAGGGAAGGCTCAGTGGAGCTGTGAACTGCAAGGATGGAACAGAGAGGAATGTGGTTGTTGAGAAGACAGTGAAAACTGACCAGGAGGCAAGAGTGTATTGAATGCAGGAGATCCTTGTGGGGCTCGCTAGTGTTGCCAAGTTAATGGGAAGTAAGAATTGTGATTGTAATAGCTCTTTTAATATATCAGTTGTCCATAACTAGTTAGCCACTGCTAATTACTGGTTACTATTTACGCACAACTAGCTAACCATCACTCATTCCTAGTTACTAGTTACCCAAAACTAGCTAACCAGTGGTAGTTATCATTTACTTGCTACTAGTTACCAATAACTAGCTAACCACTGCTTTTAATATGATTTCATTTGAAAAGTTATTTATTGAGCTCCAATCATCAGGGGCCGGGGATTTTGGACCACACTGGGATACAGACAGGACGAGTGCGACAGCCTGCCCTTGAGCTCCCAGTCTAGTGAGGGGTAAACACAGCAAATCATTAGAATGCTGTCGGGTGAGAGCTGGACTGAAGGGATAAAACAATTGCACCAGGAAAGTGCAACTGATTTTAATGTAGTTTTTAGATACACATTTTAGTTAAAGTATTGTGGTTTTAATCTTGAATTCTGAAACCATTTGCATATTTTGCTTTTGGTGCAGAAATGAGTGTAATAAGAATTTTTATATTATTACATTAAAGTAAATCTGACTTGATCAAGACATGTTAACTTTTCACAGATATGCTACTGGAAACTATGGTTTAAGGAAATGTGTCTGGTTATCAAGTTGACCAGGAGTGGACTGTGCAGGGTTAACTATTGGTCACCTTGTAACACGCAGCTGAACTGAATCAGCACGGTTCTGGGTGTGGAAGACCCATCTGAGGACTGTTGCCAACAGCATAAAAATGAGAACTGGAGAGAATGGTGGTGTGCTGTTGATTCTCCTGGAGAAGCTTGTCACTCTGCTTTTCCTGATATGAACTCAGCTGTTTCCATTTTTGGCGGAGCTCGGGTCTTCAGCTGGACTCATGCAGGACATTGCTGTGGAATCCAGCCTCTCAGCTGGATTCTTTGGGTCTCTAGTGCGTGGACAGCAATCCTGCACTCCTTTACATTTGACTGTGGGTGAATATTATAACTCTATAAATTGTATCATGTATTAAATCTTTTCCCTTGTAAATCACTAGCAGCAACACTAGTGATTAATGACTTGTGAATTCTGTAAAAAGCCCATATTCTTCATGATGTGGCCAATAAAATCTCTGCTTAGTTAGCTAGTATGATCAGCCAATGACTAGATAGATATTTCCTTAAATGCCTAGAATTACAAACTGTCACAACCATTTTTGCCAAAGGGCAAGGATCTCTTGGGGTATGTTGGGGGCGCACTTTTAACACAGTCAGGCAGTTTACCTTGAGCTTATAGTGCAGTCAGAAGTGAGAAGCTTGGACTTTTCTTGAGCACCTGAACAGTCCTGGGAGTGCCACACAGCTTATGTGGTGCACAGCTTTCTCAAATCCCAAGAATATGTCGGACGGTTTCAAAACCAGACATCTTATTCCCCAGCTTTTCCTTTAAAGCTTTTTTGGTTAGTCTATTGTTTAAACTGTTACCTATTGTGTAAGCCTGTGTTTGAATTATGGCCATGGCTGGAGTGTAGCTCAGAGCATTTGCCTGGGTCAATTTGATCACAGCACAGCAAAAAAAGTCACATGGTATGTATGTAAACATGGTAAGAAGAAACAAGCCCAACCAGGCAACTGCCATGAGAGTTTTCAAAAAGCACCCTTACAGAAAACTCTACTTGTCTTGGGCAAACACAAAGTCAGTTCAAAGAAAGACAAATTGATTGAAGCCTCAGAATTCCAGATGTGTATTTAGTTTGTATTTTGTCAACAAAACCTTGCTGTTGGGAGAGAGGAGCAAAAATGGTGGATAGATAGCAACTGGCTACAGAGGCTCCCTGAGATAGTCAACTTAAAATTCAACACAATACAGAATGGGGAGCCCCAAACAGAGGGAAATGAATCCTCTCATCCCAAGAAAAAATTAAGCAGGTGACTTGCTGACCATTCCAGATTCACTGTGACTGGCTGGGGTCCTGCTGTGACTTGCTGAGGTCCTGCCGTGACTTGCCTAGCAGTCCAAGCTCCTGCCGCTTGGACTCACTGGAGGCGCAGTTACATTGAGTTTGGGGGTCAGTGAGAGGAATGGAGAGCTGAGTTGGCAGGGTGCCTACATCAACCTGTGGTGATGGCAGTGGAGCTATTCCATAGAAAAGAGGGGTCTGGCAGACTACATTCTGGGACCAGGCAGCACTGGCAAGTACAGGGGGCAGCAGTGACTTCAGTCAATTGTTCCCTTCCAGAACAGGATTGGTGGAGTGAGCTGGGCCTTGGTCACGTGACCTAGCTGAGACCCAATAGGTTATCCAAAATCAAGTTCCTACAGCAGTGGCCCACACTAACCACAGTATCCCAATGTAGCCTCAGAAGTTTGACTGATCCAGAGGGGAGGCAGTGCAAAGAAATACAGTGCAGACCACAGCAGCTTGACTGATCTGGAGGGGAGGGGCCAGCATATGCTGTCCCTGTCTGCAACTTACTAGCACATGGCAGAAGAAAGGATCATCTAGCCAGTGCACTTCAGAAGAATTGTAACCAACAAAGAAAGAAACTGGGGCCTCTTGGAAGAAGCAAAAAAGATGGGAAGAGAAAGCAACAACAAAAAGTCCCCAGGTTCCAACCCTGAGAACATTGACCCAGGACAGGTAAATACAAAGGAGAATGAGACTAACAAACATGCAATATCAGACACAGCATCAGTGGACATAAAGAGATATATTCAGGATCTCATAGATGAGTTCAAAAGTGAAATATTTAGCCAAATAAAGCAAGATATAAGAAGATTAATATAAGAGATGCTAAGCACCCCTCAAGCAGATACAGATAAAAGAAAGAAGGAACTCAAACAAAGGAGAGACCATTTGATGAAGAATATAAAAGTATATAGAATACATGAAGCAGATTCAAAGAGATCACCAGGAAATTAAAAACTCTATGGAAAGATGGCAAATCTGCTTGAAAGAAACTAAGGACAGATTATCCAAACTGGAGGATAATTTTGCAATGTGGGAGTATGAAAGGGAAAACTTTTTAAAAATAACAAGGAAACAAGCAGTAACAATACAAAGGCTAGAAGACGACAAAAGGATCTATAACTTGAGAATAAAGAATGTGAATGAAGAAGCTGGGGTACACCAGGTGTGGTGGCTCATGCCTGTAATCCCAGCACTCAGGAGGCTGAGGTGGGAAGATCATTGCACGTTTGAGACCAACCTGAAAAAAGTGAGCTCAAGGTCAGCCTGAACTGCATAGTGAGACCCTGTCTCAAAAAAAGACAAAAAAGCTGAGATCCACGCCATGTTGGAACTGAGGACACTGGGAAGCCAAGCAAGCACCTCCCTTCCCTGGTAAGTGGTGGCAGTGTGGCAGCCTGTTGCCCTTCCAGGGGGAGAACCAGCAGCAGCTCCTGAGATCCACGCCATGTTGGAACTTAGGATGCTGTGAAACCAAACAACCAGCCTGCCTCCCTGCTAAGCGATAGTGAACCTACTGATGCACAGCTTAGAGTCAAACATCCCAATTCCTCTACAGCCCTTCTCCTGTCCCCCCCCACCCCGTTAGCAAATGAGAACCAGAAATCTGAGCGTCTCCTGGGAGATTGACCATAGCAAATAAGGGGGACTTCCTTCCACCATCTCTTTGAAGGCAAATATTTTTATTACTGTTTTGCTCTATTTTGATTAATGGTACTGCTCTATTCAATATTCTGTTTTGATATGTTCTATGTTTCATCTCATTTTGATATACATGATTGAAAAAACAACTATTATAAAGATAACAAAATATACTGTGATACCTATTACTGCTATCCTGGTAACCTGCTGTGAAGTTCTGTACCAATTTCTCTGTACGATCTTAGCTGTCTTGTTCTGTTGTATTTTACTACTTTCCAAAAAAAAAGACAAAAAAGAAGCTGGAGTACAAACAAAGGAACTACAAAGGCTATTCAGAGAAATAATTAAGGAAAACTTTTCAAGCATAGGGAAAGGAAATGATATTCTGATGTATGAGGCATACAGAACTCCAGTCACCTACAACCAAAACAGAGCTACACCCAGGCTTATAATAATCAAGATCCCAGAAACTCAATATAAGAACAAAATATTAAAAGCTGTTAGAGACAAGAAACAGATCACCTATAAAGGAAGGCCTATCAAAAATAATGGCAGACTTCTTGACACAAACCATCAAGTCAAGAAAAGCCTGGAGCGAAATATTCCAAGCCCTGAAAGAAAATAACCTCCATCCCAGATTGATATACCCTGATAAACTGTCTCTAGAAATTAATGGAGAAACAAGATGCTTCCAAGACAAAAAGGAACTTGAGAAATTCACAACCACCAATCCAACTCTACAAAGAATACTGCAGGGCATTCTAGAGAGAGAGAAAAGTACCAGGATTCCAGGGACAGTGGCAGAGAGGCCTCAATGAATGGAGCAGAAAACAGAATGAAGAAAATAAGCAGACAACTGATGACAAAAAAGAGCATGACAGAAATGAGGCAGAGAAGATTTTATTCAAAACTGATATGACTGATAGTATCAAGTCTGAGAATATAGGCAACTATAATGAAGATGACAAGACTCTATGATACACATTCTGGTTTTTTTTTTTTTTTTTTTTTTTTTGTCTTTTTCCTTTTTATCGGTACTGGGGATTGAACTCACGACTGCCTGCTTGCAAGGCAGGGACTTATTCTGCTGAGCTAAATGCCCAGCCCCCAAAATTCTGGTTTGATAACTGCCAGTTTCTGAAGTTCTATACTATATACAAAGTTGTGTTTTTATTAATACTGTTATGTACTGAATATTCAATTATACTATGTCTGATGATATAGCCAATTCTATTGGAGATAACAAGAGACAACACAGGAACCATGGTAGAACTCTTTGTACAATGGTCTTATATGTTTATTTCATTTCATGTGTTTATAGGAATATGTTTTGTTTTGCCTTGCTTTGTTTTGCTTCTCTCTCTAATATAGAAAGGATAGAAAAACATGTTAAGACTCATGCATGTGTAGAATCTGTAAACAGTTTGTGAGAACTGATCTTATGACACATGATGAACAGATACTTTGAAGAAAAAGAGACACTAAAGTACCCAGTGCTGATCCTAGAGTGCCATAATGTAAAACCCAGCAATAGTATTATTCTTTGTTCAGAGTGGTATTAGCCTGCTTAGGTTTATTCAATCTCAACATAATTGAAGATAGGGATACTGCATGTATGTTTAAGTGTATAGGATTGATAACCATATTTCTAAGTTTTTGTTGGATAGTTGAACAGAACTGGTTGCAGTCACACTGTTTGAATCCCCACTTTATATGTTCCACTTTAGTTCTTGAATAACTATTTGTAAGAAGACAATCTGTAATCATCAACTAGTGATTTCTTACTGTTTTTTTCTTTGAAATTATGTATTATTTCTACCCATTTTCTGTTTTGGTTAGTCTTTCTTTAAATTAAATTTAAAAAAAAACACTACAGTACCCAGTGCTGATCATGGAGTGTCATGATGTGAAATCCAGCAATACTATTATTCTTTGTTCAGAATGATTTTAACTTGCTTTGGTTTGTTTAATCTAAACATAAATGAAGATATGGATAACTGCATGTATGTTTAAGTGTATAGTATCGACAACCATGTTACTAAGTTTTTGTTGGATAGTTGAACAGAACTGTTTGCAGTCTCACTGTTTGAATTACCACTTCACATGCTCCATTTTTGTATCTTGAACAGCTATTTGTAAAATGACAACATGTAAACATCAACTAGTGGTTTCTTACTGTTCAGTTTTTTCTCTGAACGTATGTATTATTTCTACCTATTTTCTGTTTTGTTTAGTCTTTCTTTAAATAAAATTTTTTAAAAAACAAAGAAATACAAATCTTGGGAATACTGAAATCTGGCGTTTTGTAAAACCAATAGGCACTAAGAAAATATGTTTTAAGACTATCAGTTTGATTTTCATTTGTTTTATCATGATGTAGCTAGTGTTAGCAGCTGAGTTAGATAGAGACATGGGCAGTCAGATAAGGCCAGGTCCCTGAAGGAGCCAATGCAGAAGACCAGGCATCTTACAACTGTGGGGGAGACAGACACCTCGGCTATGGGCCAGACCTCAAGATGCAACAAATGCAACC